TCGTTATTCCCTCTCCGAAGATAGCTTTTTAATAGCGATATAGCCGAAAAATCAATAAGCTAGTATAAATTAAGATCAGTCCAATAGCCACTCCCTACCGCTAGCCACAATAAGAGGTTCAATACCTATATTGCCGCGTAAGTTTGAGCACCCTGGTATAAGAAACTAAGTAATAGTGCCTAAACCGTAGTTTAAGGCCGCAATTTGCTCTCCTATTACTTCTAGAGGTACTAGCTTATGCTTTCGCTAGTACTTAGTCTCAAGGACTCGGGCCTCAATGATTGGGTACAAATCTTAATTGGTTAGTAAGGCCCAAAGGAGTATAGCTTACTTTTTTAAGCAAAATACTAGCTTTTCTCTCGCGAAAGCTAAAACAAAAAAAGCGGAAGCTTATAGCTTATAAAGCTCGCTTTTGTAATCGACCGGAAGGACGTTATTCCGCCCCGAGCTTAGCAGAATCAAAGGTTTTGACGTAAAGTTGCTGAAGGTTTCGCTAAACAAAGGTTTTAACGTAAAGTTGCTTAAGGTTTCGCTAAACAATTTCGTCGAAGGTTCTCGAAGAGTTAGCGAAAAGGTTTTGTGCTAAGCGAGAATTTGATGCCTAAAGTTGAGAGATTTGTGCTAAGCGAGAATTTGATACCTGAGGTGTCGAAATTGAATTGCTACCATGTGAAATTTAAATAAGGAATTAGGGTAAAGAAAAGACGAGTCCAAATTGCTTTGCTTGCTTGCTTGCTTGCTTGAAGTAAATACAGGAGACCTTTCAAGGTCTTATATAGACTATTAGGTAGTTCTAGAGCCTTCTATATGACTCATAGAATACGTAATAGTATTACAAATCAAAATCAAGTAGAATGTTCCTGAAGGTTCTGGTAAGTCACTTGACTTCGCTTAGAAAGTTCTAGAAGTACTGATTACAAATCAACACCTTAGAATATTCTAGGCAAAGTAATGATTATAAATCAACACTAACAGCTAGCTTAATATCAGCCCGATTAAAATGCTTAATAACTAACCAACTAGCTAAAAGAGCTTACTATTATCTTTAAAAGACTAGTCGATATTAAAAACATTAATACTATAAAGTAGATCAATACGCTTAGCTACTTATCTAGTATAAAAGTTGCTTCGATCGAGATCAACGCTACCGCAAAAGACAAAGCCAAGAAGCTTCTCCCGCTTTTAAAAGGATCTAAGCTTATTAAGATCAAAAAGAATATCCGACAATAAAGAAAGAAGAATTACGGCACCTTTAAAGTTCGTGCTTCTTAAGAATCGAGTACTGCTATAAAAATAGACTTAAAAGATAAGTTATTCGATAATATAATTAAAGAAAAGTCTTCTAGACCTTCGAGACTAGCTAAAGCCGACGAAGTTATAAAAGATTTAAAAAGAAAGGTTAAGATCATTTAACGAATGTTAAAAGGAAAGAAAAAGAGGACTTATAGACGAAAGAAGTTCATTGACCCTTACGTTATTATTAAAGCTTAAGAAAAAGCAATAGCAGCGATTATAAAATCGAGAATCGAAGTCTAAATTAAAAACCTATTCGGACTTAGCTTTCGCTTCGACAAGCTATTAAGCTATTATATTCTAATAGTCTTCGATGCTAAAAAAATCGTAAAGGTTCTTTAAAGTAAGCTTATTCTTATGAACGCCTTAACTATTAAACGTTTAAATCGGAATGAAGAAGGCAAGCTAAACCTTTTAACGACGTAAATCCGCAAACAACTTATCGCTCGCAATTGCTTCGAAGTAGCGATAAAGACTTTAAAGGTTTTTATTAATATCGACGGTATAATTAAAAGCAAATCTTTTTTCGATAATAGATCCGAAGTCAATGTTATAAATAAAGAAATAGTTAAGATAATTAAACTATTTATTATAACGGATCGAGCTTTAGTCTATATTATTATATCCGAAGATCTTTATAATTTCGATAAATAAATAAACGACGTTAAAGTTATTATCGACGGAATCATCAATTACGCCGATTTCTTTATTATCAATAATAGCAATTACGAAGTTATCTTAAACATGCTTTTCTTTTTAAAATCTTAACTTTCTTTTTTTTACTTCGATAATAGCACGATGAAAGCTTCTTTTTAAAACTACGATCGATCTACTTAAAGCTAGATTACTATTGCAAAAGACAAGTCGGATTTAATCGAAGACTCGAGAAACTAATAGCTAATATGCAAGCTAAGATAAATACTAAGTTAAAAAGAAGCTTAAAAAGAAATTCCGCCCGTGAACTATAGTTTACGAGTAAATCGACATAAAAACAATAAAATCATAAAAAAACAATTTAATTTAATATTAAGCAAAGCTTATTAAAATCAAAAACATTAAAAATATTTGTAATCAAACTCGACAAATCGAAAAATTTTATATTTATTATCGATAACGATAAAGACCTTTTAAAAAAGAATGTAATAATAGTTAATACGATGTATAAAAAGAAAGCGAAGAAGGTCAAACCGATAGATTTAAGAGTATCGGATAAAGAAATACTTAAAAGAATCGACGATTAGTTTAAGCAAAATAAAAAAGCGAAATCTTTTAAGCTTAAAAGACTTTTTTCGAAATACTTTATTAGCAAGTTTTCAAACTTAAAAGTTAAATCAAGATTAACGAAAGAACGATTCGAAGCACTTACGATTAGCTTTTAAATTATTTCGGAAGAAAAAGAGCTGCTTTATTAATGCTTTTTAAATCGAAAAAAAACGATAGCTTAAGATTTTACTTATTTTAGCTAAGTCCGGAAAGAAGTCATACTATTTTAAAAGATCAAGACGATGCTTTACGAAGCTTAAGAAGAAAAAACGTTTACAATGCTAAAAGCTTTGCAAGAAATAGTTATCTTTATATTAAAAGAACGATTAAAGCAAAAAGTCTTCGAATTATACTAAAGCCTTTACCGGAACAAATAGTTTATTATAGCAAAGAAAGAAAAAAGAAAATACAAGCTAATCACTATTATAATTAAGATAAACCGTATAACGGTTAAAAACGCTAATATTGCTTCGAACGTAAACTAGTTTTCGAACGAATTTGCCGGTTTTACGATAGCTATACTCTTAAACTTTTTTTTTAAATACGATTAATTCTTTTTCAACGTTGAGTTTAAAAATATAATAGCTATTATGGAGGGGAAGAGCTCCGACATATACCCAACGTCAAATTAAGAGATATATATGAATATAGCTATAGTAAAATCGTAGGTAAATAAAGGGAGAAAAGGAAGACGATCGAAAGACACTCGAATGTGTGCTGTAAATACGTGTATTATATTGTATATGTTGTTGTAATGTAGTTCAAAGAGGAACCAACTACTCGTTTATATAAGAGCTTGCACGTGACTTAGCTACGTGACTTAACTACGTGCTTAGCAAGGCCAGAGCATACAGCGCACTTACGTAATAAAGGTGCTTAGCATTAGTACTATATATATAGACAAAACAAATACAAAGCCTTAACTTTATTATATACGTCCCTCTTTCGAATCAGACTCGCTCTCGAGTCACTTCTTATTAAAGTGATAGAATTAAGTTTGCAAGACGAGCATATGGCCGAATTGCATAATCGCAATACTGTCTTAAAGTACTACTTAATAATGCATCGCCGGATCGGTGTTAATACGAGGCGTATATGATATAATAAAAAAGATAAGAATAATAACGAGATTGTAAGATAATTTTTCGAGTCCAACTCTTCTTTATATTTTTTATAGCTCTTTTATTTAATTATAAGAATAATATCAACTCGAGCGTTAGTATTGTTATTAAGATAAGCGTGCGCCGGTTTAGGCGGTTAAGTGGTAACGCATTGCCGAATCGGTAATAGCGCGAGGCTTAAGGCGGTAACGTAATAAAGAAAACAAAAGCGGCAGTATATACTCGAGGTCTTGTTATAAACAATACCTTTTTTTTATATTAACTTTACATTCTTTCACTTTTTCTTTAGCACTTATTATTTATTAACTTTTTTTAATCATTATGTTCTCGATTTGCTCTCGCTACGTAAGCTACGTAAGCAAAACTATCGATAATATTGCGAGTCGGTGCATCTTCTTTTCCGACATTTCTATTAAATGCAAGCGTTG